TAGCCGCGAAACCCACAATAGTCGCCACCTATGTATTACTTAGTAGATAATTTGGCAATGTCATCAAGAAGAGATGAACATGTCTACTATCTAGGTAGTGCATATCTGATGTGCCCCCGAGCGGCCTTATGTTCTAAGTGACGATTAGCCCTAGTACACGGCCCATCGAACGTTAGCAACAGCTACCTACCTAGATACCTTAGGTGCTGTACTGTATGCACCAGGAGGAGAGTACCTACCTAAAGCACCAGATAAGCATATATTAGGTATTAGAGCGATGTAGAACAATACGGCATGCGACGTCATGAGAAAGAGACTATACTAAAAATAACCGCGACAGAAGGCTGAGTGCTGATATGAACAAACCAACGAAGACGTTTGTTTTCTTAGTATTTTGTCTCAGTCTCATATCGCTCCACTATTGACGGCATACGAGGTCCCACTACCTACCTACCTAGGTACTACCTCGGTACCTGTTAGGTGCACCTAGGTACCTACGGCGTCTGTACCGGTTGCCGATGCGAGCCCTGATCAAAGACAAGTAGCAGATTGAACAGGCCAAATCCTCAAGCCTACTACTACTAATTTAGGAAGCTGAGCTACCTAGCATGGGGACTTTTTTTACCCTTGTCTAACGGTTAAGTACAGGTAGGGCTGAGTCCGTCAGCCTGGGCGGTGCCTGGACATTTACTGCCTGGTTCGAGTTGGGAACGAGTTGTAATCTATACAGGCTCCTCAGTGGAGAGGGCCGTCAGCCGGCACATATGGCACCACCAACTTGCTAATATTAGTCATGGTTCAGCTATGAGGTGCATAGGTAGGTTAACAAACATTGTCAGAAAAGAAATGATGAGATATTGTTTCACCGCATGAGAGCGATGCCCTAATGAAACAGCCCCCAAGTCGTACCTCATTTCCGTATCCAACCTGTTGTTGTGCATTGCGATGGGCACGGTTATAGCCCACTTGTCTTCAAGATAGGATTTCCTTAGCAAGCAGTGCGCGGGCACCGCAGAATCGTCGTCCCAGCACTAATCCTACTACGCGAAGACGAGCTGAGCATTTCATACGTATCAAATTAGTAGCCAAGGCAGCTCCAAGGTAAGATGTTAGCTATGGGGGGAAATGAATGTACACTATTTCGGTCCCCGATCTTCCTTAATTTGCGTGGTACCTGACAAGCCTCCGTCGACTAGTGAGTCTGCAATGCCGATAGATTGGGATGGCGTCAAAACAGCACAGCCTGCTTCTTCCCGTTGACGGTCTGTAGGACCAACAAAAGGAGCATCTCTTCCTCCAGTGCCACATGCCATATTTAATTCCCCAAGCCCTCCTCGCCGCTAGGTTTAGTTAATACTAGGCACCTGACAAAGCCAGCTTCTTTGCTACCGACGGTTCTCCTATCACTCGCTACCGGAGTGCCATTCATAAATCAAACCACGCCCAACGCAACCAAACAAGCCTTGCTCATCTCCCTCTCTCATTATGGCGACACCGGAGAAGTACGGCCAAGGGCAAGCCGGATACGGCCAGCCTCAGGGGCATCTAGAGAAGGACGAGGGAGAGTGGCAGACTGGAATTTGCAGTTGTGGACCCTGTTCCTCGTGTCTTCTAGCCTGGTGTCTGCCATGTATCCTCCTAGGACAAACCTCAGAGCGTATCCGCGACCCCTCGATGCAGAGTGCTGATCTGCTGAACTCGGACTGCTTTCTTCACGGAGCTATTAATTGTTTCACTGGTTGCGGTTGGATGTAAGTCCTTTTGTTTCCCAGTTGGCACCCAGACGTAGGATGTTCTGACTAGGTTATGTGACACAGATACGCCTTGTTAAAACGTGGTGAGATCCGCGAGCGGTATGGGATCAAGGGAAGCGGCTGCGGCGACTGTTGTGTGTCGTTCTGGTGCTCATGCTGCGCGCTCATCCAACAAGACAACGAGGTCAAGATCCGACAAAGGGCGCAGCCCATCACACAGGGTTATCAAGTTCAACCTGGGATGCACGTATCACCGCCGGCGCCGGCGCCGGTGTACCACCCACAGCAGTAATCCATCCGTCCAACACTCTTGTGTAAGATGACAAGATGAGGAGATGCGACTCCACCGGCAAGCGGCACAACAACACACCATAGGCGCTGCTTTGACGAGTAATTACGGGGAGTCGATGCGATGCTTGGGCTCTTACCAACAGGCGCCCGGTGAGCGAATTGTGGATATAAAGATTCAGGATTGGCCTGACACTGTTCAGCTCCCAACAGCATCACCGCTGCGGAGGAAGTGTGCTGTGCATAAGGTTAGGTGGAGACGACCGGGAACCTTGGGAGACCCTAATCCTCCCGTAAGCAATGAGACGTTTTTTTTTTTCTTTCGTCTTCCTCTTCTTGTTTCCAGGGGGGGAAGGGGTCACTTATCCCCTTTTAGGCATCTACTAGATTGCCAGCCCTACATTGACCCTGACAACTACTAAGTATATGAAGTCAAAAATTCAAAACATCGGAAGCTATTGTGGCGTACAGCGAATCTACTTACTATTTGTATGATTTTAATTGTACGTTATAAGTACCTTCGTAGTGTCCAAGTTGCCCGTCCCAGCCCACATCCTACCGCAGGTCTCTGTCGAGTAGACATGTTGGTGGCTGAGGGGTCCTCACGCAGCACGGCTGCATCGCGACTGGCGACCTAATATATACTCAGGTACACAATGTGATGTGAATTATCGGGTTTACATGAACCAGTTCGATTCATATCACTGTTTCATCAGGTAGTACGCCTACGTTTTCAGGTATGCCTTCAATTCATGCTTTCGAGCTACCTAGCCATGGTCAAGAGGTATCCTTAGGTCTCCATAAGCTCCACAGAAATAATGAAACCGATTAGGCAGCAAGAAAATATATCAGTTCTGGCTATAACTTCATTCGACCGACTGTAGACGGCGGCGAGATACGAACTAGGCGCCAATAACGACTCAGATCTTAATTCATCCATTCATACATGAACAATGACACCAATTGACAACGTAGTCCGACCCGTAGGCCCACAGTAAGCTACTGATCGAATCCATTATGAGTGATACGGTCTTGGATCCCTTCTCATCACGACTGGTCCACGCATATTGTGGCTAATCTATTCCTACCCTCAGAGCCAAATACAATACCGCCCGACATAGTTTAGGGATTCTTCGCGCCGTGATCGTAACATGTCGGTATCGGGTACCAGCCTCCCATCTGCGGCAACAATCGGTTTCACTACATGACGCGATAGAGAATGCGCTGGCGGCCGTAGTCGTCGGGCAGCCGATGCTGGCCATCGGCATTGCGGGTGAAGAGACTAAAGAACCAGTTTTCGTGCACCTCAAGACGATCGACATGCGCCGTATGATCGAGTGGAAGGAGCTCATTGCACCAGCTGCCCCATCTAGACCGAGGAATGGGGATAAGAGTAAAGAGGAGCAAGGAGAAACGCATTACGATAATCGCCTGCTTTGTTCCCTCGAGAAATGCCACGAGCCGCTCTGGGAAGATCTCGCGGGCAAACCAGGCTGGAAAATCATCGTGCACCACGATCCACAACAGTTGGGGGCGCTTCAATCCCGCGGATCTGTCGGTCCAAAGAATAAGGACGAAGAGGAGGTGTTATCCTTCGATATCTCCTTTTGTTTCCACCACGCGTATTCGGACGGGAAAGGGGGGTACATCTTCCACGGCGACTTACAGCGAGCCCTAAACAATACAGCTCGTCCCCCAGAGCTCCAGAATCATATCCTCCATCTAGCAACACCCCCTCTCCTCCCACCCGCCATGGATACACTTATCCCCTTTACATTATCTTGGACGTTCATTCTGCACACAATATGGGCAGAGGTCCTGAAGCCTCTGTTGCCCAGGCGTCTGTTTCGCCTCGAGCCGAGCGAGGCCGACACCCCGTGGACGGGGGCACCGATTGACGCGTCGAACCCAAAGACGCATATTCGCACGTTGTTCAAGTTAGACAATGAGGCGCAGCTGAGGGGGCTCCTGACACAGTGTAGAAGCCACGGGACCAGTTTAACAGGATTGCTGCACGCGCTCATCGCACGCTCACTCGCACGCCAGGTGAAGGATAGATCATTCCGCTCTACGACACCCATCGCGCTCGCGCAGTACGCGGACGCTAATATTGCGGGCTCGACTTTCACACCAGGCAAGACGATCCATTGTCTTGTCACCGGGCTTTCACCCCTTCATGATCTCGACGCTATTCGGCGGCTACGGGGGAACCGAGAGGAGGGAGACGTGCGAGTAGACGATGACGTAGCAGTTTGGGCATTCGCGCAGGAGATGACGGCTCGTTTGCGCGCCAGTAAGCATTCCCAGTTTGTTTTATTTCCCCTCTCGGCAACATGTGCTTCCGCGTGCTCTCAAAACTCCCCAGAATGAGCCAAATCCCAACCACAGATAAGAACTCTAACACTGGAATCTCTTACAGAGACCGCCTCACTGCCACGCGATGACATATTAGCTCTGTCTGGTCTTATCGGCGACTGGCACGAGTTCATTCGCAGTAAGTTCGGAAAGGCGAGGGATAGCACCTGGGAGCTCTCCAACCTAGGCAGCCTCGACGCCGTCGACGCAGGGAAGTCTGATCCCAAAAACGTGTTCGAAGCGAAGGCCGGGCCGAACGTGGAAGAGAAGGGGCGGTGGTTCATTGACCGTGCAATCTTCACGCAGGGGACCGGCGTCGGCTCCGCCATATGTATCAACGTTGCTGGCGTCGCTGAACACGGCATCTATGTAACTATTAGTTGGCAGGATGGCAACGTAGATGTCGACCTTGTAGAAAAGTTGGTTGATGATTTGCAGGCCTGGATCACTGAACTTGTGGAGGTTTAGAAGTCTACATTCAATCTAATATATGTGTATAGTTACAATAGATATTTATACAGTTCTAAAGCCTGACCATGAAGAGAGTGGGAGCTAAAAACATGAAAAATGTGGACGAGTTACAAAAATACAAAAATAAGTTGGTGCACGAGGTGAGGGTCGAACTCACGACTTTTGCATACCTTATCATAACGAGCTACACTTCGTATAGCAAGTATAAGAGCAACACGCTAACCACTGCGTCACACGTGCAATAGGTAATGTCCCCACTGCTTATTTGGAATTCAATAACCACTATTGTTTTGCATTCTCTTACAAAACCATCATACCATCAGCGTCCACATAGATCCCTAAGGTCCGTAAAGCTTTGGTCGACATCTAGATAATAGCCTCCTATCGGTAGATATTTGCTGATTGAAAATACCAAGAAAAAGGTACCTAGATAGGCGGGGCTTACCCCGAGGCCGCGCCTATCTTTACTCGTAGCCTTTTTTAAGGGGGAATTATTGTCATCGCCCGAAGAAATATTGTCCTGGTCGAGCCTAGGCATGGCCACCCTTTTAAATCACACCTCTCAAGCCGGAGACATTGCTCGCCCTGCCAGTACCTGCATTCATTCTAGGGTCGAACTTGGCTAACCCCCCCCATACAATCAGTCTAGTGGGGTCTAGGGTGTCACCGCCCAAGTGAGACAAAAAAGTCACCCTCCACATTTAGCCCCTATCTCGGTTTCGTGCCCGAACCAATACTGAAATGGTTGGCTTCCCCAAGATAATAAGCGAACCTAATATACTGATTATAGATTTAACTCCTTCTCTTCCCTATTCGTTGCACGCGTACACTAATAAGCCACTAGTCAACAGCCTCAGAAATTGGCAAGATTCTTGAGCAACCAGAAAGGCTGCCAACGCAAGCCTGGTACCAAGGGGGAGGGGAAGCAATTAAAGGACCTCATAGGTGCTCGCGTGTGGTTGGTTGTGTAATTGTGTGAATAACGGACCTTGTCCGCTCTTCTTCAAGTCTTGCCGTTGTCAGGGTTCCTTTCTACGACTATTCCCCGCCCAACGCCGTCATTGGCTATATATCAAGATCAGAAGGAGGAAGAGATGGACTAGAATTACTGCAGGTATTAAAAGTAGTGCGCGGGAAGGGAATTGCGTTCTAATTCATGTGCAGTAGAACCTGTCATACTCGAGGACAAGGTCTTAGGCTTTAATATTCCCACCTTTAGCTGCCAGGTCCTCCATTAGAACCAAGGGGGAGAAATAACAACAAAAACAACAGACTAATCAAGTGATTGATGTATGAATAGACTTGGTACTCCCGTCCCATTCCCAGATTACCTTGAAATTTTAAAGAGCCTTTACACATTGGGAATATATCGAGCATGCTTTCTAGGTCTAGATTAAGTGCTTGTCATGGCAATAACCTCAAGAAGCCTAGAAACTATGCCAGCCGCGGAGGGGATCAACCTTCCTAACTTGTGTCTTCTTTTCCCTGACTACGTTAAAGTTGACGTTCATGTATGTATTAGACTTATAATGAACAGTGGTAGGAAAAATGCTGAGATTACCTATACCCTATGCCGTGGAAATAATATACACCTTAGGGAAAAATAAGAGAAGGGGAGAAAGGAATCCCATGGGTGCGCATACAATAGTAGTAATTTCCCATTATCAACTGTTCCCTAGGAAAACAAGCCCAATCACATAATAAAGCCATTCAGTTATGCGCAGCATAATAAAAAGATATGCAGTCACCTTGCTTAAAAGGTCTAAGAAATCGTGTAACTTAATTGCTTATTAGCGCTGTAGTTAGCACTTACAACTAGATTATGAACTATCTCCAAGATCTGCTTTCCTATACTATCTTACCTTGCTTTTCAGTAACGATTCCTGTTCTTAGATGAAACAATAGTTTGTATTTATTTCTCTTCTTGGTTTGCTTATTTGATAATGTTTCTTAGTTAACGCCCTCGTCATACAGCTCTCCACCGAGGCTATGCGCGTTGAGCTTATTAGGTTCATAAGTCCCTGAACCCCCAATGTGAGGAGTACACGTAGCTATATACATATGTACTTACTTACTTACGTTTAGTTCAAGTGGACGAGTGAAACAACCTTGATTAACATGGAGCATAGAATCTACGGTGTGTGAGGGGCACACGGAGCCTTACGTTAAGACTTTCCGATTCTCTACATATACATATTGTACCTACGTAATATTTATATATCACTTGACTGATATAATACTAGGGTACCGCAATGCCATAATACTTCGGTAGATCACTCGATACTAATCTTTAATATTGTATAGAAATATCGAACGATTGATCTAGAAGCCTCTAGGGCGGCAAGTTCTGAGATCCAAAAACGGTGCCCACCATATGTCTAGTTATAATGATGTCATACGTAACACCGTATATTAGCTAAAAGACCGCACGTAGCACACGGGATGCACTGGACCGCAAATATCGCTAGTTCGCAGAGTATTACCTGGAGTACTGAGACCTCTTTCAGCTAATCCATCCCTTTGTTCTGGAGAACCAAGGGCGTTACTAACGTAAATCACGATAGAAGTTGGGGTATAGGCTACCTAGGTACCTACATCTACAGACACAAAGAGTGGGCTTCTCCAGCAATGCCACATGATCCTTCGATTGCGGCATTAGTGTGAATTTAGGTCGATCTATGATGAGGGGGATTCTGGGTTGAGTACATCCTGAAATGGTTGTACTTATGTACCGTGACCATATCATTTACCGTACCGAGATCTTACGAAGTGATATATAGGAAGGCAACAATGAAGGCATTGTTATTTTCGAAATTTCGGTGCTCATAATTATTACTTAAGCATAAGTTAAGATATGAGAAATGTTTTGGTCGTAGAAGGTAATACTGTTCAGCCGCAACATGGTGTATAATAATATTACCGACACTGCCACGGTAGACACCCCTGTACAATAACTATGTATACATTCAAATATCATTGAGGGAGTAATGAACTGTGCGTTCTGCTTACAAGCACAAGACCTTTTTTTTTTTTGGAGGTCACAGTATATACTTACACTGCATTGTGTCTTACGGCGACCTACGTCTAAAAAGCTCATGGATCGTCTACTTGGCATGCCTTCCCCGCCGCCACACTACATATACGCCTACGCCTCTTTGCACCGGAGGTGTAGAGTGTGACACGTATACTTTAGAAAACCGAGTCCCTGAATTTATAGGGTGGTTATTGGATGAATAGTCTGGAAGATCTACAGTATGGCTAGAATGATCAATTAAATGACAGGGGGAGGTGAGGCTAGGATCGCCTGTCACGAGTGTATAAGCCGTCTTTATCAGTGCCGCAATGACTGCGTCGCTCTGCATTGCCGTCCGCTGTATGGGTTATTTAACATGGATTGATTGATTTTAATTGAGGCGAACCTTGGTACTGGTAAAGAAGGAGTATGGTCGACCTCGTAATACTGCTATCCGTATACCTCCAAAGTTATGAGGTATTCTGCTAATCTAAGTACGTAAAACCCAGACATTGTAATGGAGGGGTTGCAATATCGAGCGGAGTTGGTATACTAATTAACGAAAAATATGGTTCATCTCGGGGCAAAGACGCAGGTAATGCTGCAGAGTTAGCCGTATCTAGGTAGCCTGCTGTGAGGGGTACCTAGCAACCGACCTCGCACGTCTCATATGATCGGCCTAAGTAAAAGCAGCAACAAATTCAATGTCCTGGTCAAAAACACAGTTAAGAACTCACGAACCAGAGAATAACTCACTAGCCTGTTGAGGGTCGTCCAACCCCGTTGTGTATGCCGTATCGGAGCATTAGGCAGAGTGTTCAAATAAGAAAAAGGGCCTTGACCTTTGCACTCAAGGGTAAGGGGAGATCCAACCACAATTTTACACAGGCAGACATTTATAACTATAACAAGGGTCTCTGTCGGTCGAAAAAAAAGTCGCAGGGTCGAAATTCGTGGCTAATGGAAGAGTGGCGGCTAGTCGGCGTGTGCGAGGTGTGACGAATATAGGTCGCTAATGTGGAAGTATCTAGGTCCAGAGGTTAGGTATCGAAGATATGGGATGAGATCCAAACGTAAGCGCCCTTGAGCGGCGTCGTTTATCTACTGTATTCTGCTATATATAGACGAGCGCCATCAGCGTGTCGCATTATTTCCTTTCTCTTACCTTATGTTTTAAGATTTATGGTTGTAAAGGCTGTTGGATGAGGGAGCCTTCACCATTCTAATTCCAACCTTTCCTGCGTCTCATCAAAAAGTCAGAGTTATCAGACTTGTCCGATGGGTACATGAATTTAGTCTCATGTTTAACGGTGCTAGCGTGAGTAAATTACGCGATAGTTGGTTGTTACAAGTCATCACCAAACAAATCTAAGTGGTCAAGCGAGCATTCCTTATAATTCACATACAACTATAAAGGGGATATATCTATCAATGTCGTCGAGGTATATTCATTTACGAGTCAATACATATCATGACAGGTGGTTTAGCCGTCAAACCTGGAGGAGAACAAAAGAAAAACAAAAAAAAAATGCATGCACATCTGCCTCCAATGTGCTTTGATAGACCAAGACAACCGCCCAAATTCAACAGCCATAGCCAAGAGGAAGATGCCCAAATCTATCACCTATGTACTTAGAACCCTGAAGTTGAAACCAACACTAGCGTGCTTCATGCGAATCCTATAAGTCGCCGGCGAAAGAAGCCCCGCCAGCGTCCTTATCAACGGCCATGCTATGCTTGAGGCCACACACTTCAAACAGCTTAACAGGGGTGATATCTGGGGGAGTGCCAACAACACCTTGGTTCTTCAGACGTAAGAGCGTCTCGCGGATGGCAACGTATGCAGGGGCTATCGTAGCGAAGCTAAAGATCATGATGCGGAACCCCATTTGGCGAGCCTCTTCGACGGTGATGAGAGGGCTCTTGCCGTTCTCAACGGAGTTCAGCAGAAGGGGCCAGGGAGCGAGGTCCTTCACGGCCTGGGCAGCCTGCTCCTTGGATGTGAAGCCCTCGAGCAGACCGACATCGGCCCCTTCGTCACGCGCCATGCGCAAGCGGCTAATGCACTCATCGTAGCCGAGAGTCTGCAGGGCATCGGTGCGGGCGATAAGCACAAAGTCGGATTGGAGACGGGTGCGCGCACCGTGAGCGGCTCGGATACGAGCGATGTACTCATCGGCCGGCACAACCCTCTTTCCGCCGAGATGCCCGCAGCGTTTCATCAACA